GTTTATAATTTTTCAATATTCATCATAACTCTCTTTGTTTTTACTTTTTCAAGAAGATTTCAAACGTCTTATAAGTTCCTGCATTTCGTTGTGAAAATGATATTCTTTATTTACCAAGGTGTTAACATTTTTCATTGATTTTAACGCAGTGCCAGTCTTAACTGCCACGGTCCTTGCACTTTTGTATGACATTTTGGGCTCGCATTAATGAAATTATACATTATAAAAAATTACCCCGGAACTTGTCCACCCTTAAGGCCGACTCTGTCTTAGTATTTTTATCATTTTTGATTTCTTGAACCACCTTATGGCTCTTATCAGTCCATGTATGGGGAGGGTGTAATTAAAGTTTCTGTGATTATTGTTTCCACAACTGTTTGTATATGCGTCGTACAACTACAACCAACTGTGTAACGGAGAAAGGACGTGTTACCGTATCCTGCTGGCTTGCGCCGTATTACCATCATCTCATAGAAAGGCACATGGCGGCACCCTTCGGAACGAGCCCTCATCACTTCGGAGAAGTGTACCCGGGGACCCTGGCGCCAGACGGATAGCGTCTCCCTGGAAACTCATTTAARGCCGATCTTTGGGATTCAAGTGACTCTCCGGGTGTGATCGGGAGTGACCCGCTCGCGACCTATCTCCATCTACTAAGGCGTTACCACCACAAATCCCCGGGCGTGCGACGGTTGGACGCGACGACCACCGATGGATGGGGTGCCACGCGCGGYCGCAGGGCACCCGGCGCAAAGCTGGTTTGGCTCCACTCTTCCACGCGGCTAACGATTACGGCCAGTGGTCGGATGAAATGAGCATTTGCCCGTAGGGTCAGTTCAGCATGATTTTTACCAGATATCAACAGGGTAAGATCGTCTGCGTACGAGACTATCTCGGTACCAGCGGGCAGTTCCTCCTTCCTCCGTGAGCAGCGAGTTCACCTCTAGCTTCCAAAGATCAGGCCTACTCGCTACCTTGGGGACATCCTTTAGTAAGAGTCCTCGTTATTCTTTGGTCTCCGATCGTTAATTCCGCGCTTTGACCGTCAAGGTAGCTTTTTGTGAGTTCAATTAGCCTATCCCGGCAGTTTACTGCCTGCATATCTAAGATCAGCTGGGCCCACCACAAGCAGTCAGAAGCGCCTGATATATCGAGGAAAATCRCATGGACATATTTTTCTGGCCTATCATTTGTCCATTGTAAGACATGCTGGAYCGCGTCGATCGTTGAGAGGTTCTTTGTAAATCCAAACTGTCGTTTCGACATGTTCGGTTCCGCGGTTTTACGGATTCTTTCTACTATTACATGTTCAAAGGCTTTCGATATCACCGGGAGGAGGCTTATAGGGCGATAAGACTTAGCCTCTGTGTGATCTTTCATCGATGATTTTCTGATGACTACTACCCGCGCATCCTTCCAGCCACTAGGAAAAACCTTGCGGTCCTCAGGCAGTTGTTAATCACGCTGGTGATATGTGTTGCCAGGATAAGCCAAGCCTGCCTTAAATTGCCACCTGTATATCCGTCATTCTCTCATTGGGAAACATTCACCAGATGGCTTCCTTTACCTCTTCAACGTTGCACAGATTTATTTCAGTGCCGGAAACCGCTAGCTCTGTCGGCTGAAGGCGCCTACCATCACACCTGTCTCCGCGCGGACTACTATTTGCCTTGGGTCTTCGTTTTCTACGGTGTCTTCCGGGACCAGTTCGWCCATGAGGACCTATCCGGTTTCACWTAGGGAGTCCGTATACGACCCATCCTCTCTATAGACTGATGCTAGAAGGTTTTTCAAAGGTCTAGATCCACCGGGTTTTAACCATTTATAGACTGGTCCCCACGGTTCACTTTTACCCGTATGCGTGACGAACTTGGGTCAGGCTGTACGTCTGGCCACGAAACAATTTCTTTTGTACTGGACCTTAAGTTTCCTAAATGTACCACGGATGGATCGCCTTCTTAGCGCGTTTCTAATGTTTCGTAATTTGACCTTCCAGTGACCGAGGATGCTTAACTCTCGGTCCAGTTTTTCATTCCACCACGGAGGTGGTTGTRTCTAGCAGGGCCAACTCGTTTCATGCAGATTTCGCACAGGACTTTCGAGAGAGATATGCGTCGTACACTGTTCTAGCTCTCCACGAAGTTAACGACACATATTATCTATACGTATATGCTCTAACATAACCTAATCAATGAGCAATTTATGCTTAGGTATATTATAATTATTAATTTGTATTAACTATGATATTGTATATAATACTTTATGGATACACTTAATATAAGATTCAAATTTTCATTGTAATCCTTCCACTATAGCGGGAACACAGAAGGTCCGAATTATCAGAGAGTGTGAAATATTTAAGGTCTGATAACAAACAATTAGAGAACGAGTTGATGGAAATCACCATGATGACAGAGAAGATTGATCAAACCGCAACTGAAGAGCGCAATGCTTTGGTTAAACGTCTAACATTAGAGTTGGAAGATTTGAAAAAAGCCAACCAATTGGTCAAAGTAAGTTATGAATTTATGATGATAATAATATTATACTTATTTTAACTGTAATTTAAAATGTATTATTTGCCACTAGGTAATTATGTGAGTAGGGCTACAAGTTGCAAGACATACCTAGGTTAATTACTTTCCCTTTTTCGAAATCTATGTTATATTTTCCAGGATGGTATCTAATTGATAATGGAACGTGTCCTGACTGATTGATAGATCATCATAGTATCTAAATTTTAATAGTTAAAAATTTGACATTTTGTAAGTATCTTGTACCAGCGACGGGCCACGGGACCTGCTAAAATGGAAACGTGTCGGGAACAAAAAATATCGAGTGGAAATGGGGGCCTGAAAATCAATATTATCATAAAATTTAATTTGGAAACCAATTTTTTTTATTGGATGAAAGTAGATTAGTGGGTACTAAATTATAACATATTTTTATAATAAACCCCCAATTCGTTATTGAAATTCTGTATATTTATCGACGATGATGGTACCATTGTACCAAAAACAAAAATGTCCTGGTCAACTGATGACTRATAAATGTAGAGCCTAAAATTAGAATAGATGTAATACTTGAATTTAAAAACTACATTCATACCACAATGTAGGAGTGCACAATGAAAATATTTTCAAAGCTGTGGTCACATGGTAGTTTCGTTTAGACAGAAATTGAATATTTTTCGTTTATACCTATGAAAATAAAAGATACTTTTATATAATCTAGTGTCTATAGTATCTATAGTGAATTAATATTAATATTTTATAGCATGTATATTGACACTGCCTCATATGGTTTGGCCAGTCTTGAGATATCAAGAATTTAATAAAAAATTATGTGAAAATAATTAATAAATAATCATCTCACAGTTTGAAACAAATATTTTACATAGGTACGTTATTTATTTATAAAATGTGTTTTTCAGGATCAATTAGAATCTATCGTAGCCCTAAAGAGAATTTAAGTAAGTATATWACACGAATATAACATGTGCGCAGCAGTGATCACAATATACTAAATATGTTCTTTATTTATATGCACGAGGCATGACATAGTATGTATATTTTATATCCACACGATCATGTATAGTTATATAGTTGTACGTTTATCACTATAATAAAAATCTATACTATGTGTGATTTCTAGTTTACTATATATTTTTAATTTTTTTTTAAATAAATACAAGTACAAGTTACTGATATACAAGATTAAGAGATATAATCGGTACCAATAGGTATTTAAATAATCTTGATATAAAATTTAAGAGTATTACTTTTTACCAAAATAAATTGTTGGGTTCGTAAGCAACCATAAGGAGTTTAATGAATCAATAGTGAATAACATAACTGGTTCAATAAATTTAATTGAATCATAAAACAAACCAATACCTAGTTACTAATTTTAAACAATCTGGCATACATGTCATAAAACATATGAAAATATATTTAAAATTGGTATGAAGTTGAATTTTTATCGATTATTCCACTTGATCATATGTAGACTCTATTCTCACTCTTAAATTTGATTTGGAAATGTAAAAAATGGAGAATGTTAAAACACTGTTTGTACGATTAACTAAATTAAAACATCACTGTGGACCTGCATACTTTTTAATGAAACATAAGTATAATTAGTAGACAGTAGAATAATATTTTGCACCATAGACATGATCTTAAAGCTCACATATACAGTGTAGGAGAGCCTTTGCTTTTTGTTTTACAATAGATATAATACAGAAATTTGATTGCATACTAATTCATTGATAGGGAAGAGTAGCACTACGTAGTTTGATTTGGTGCCGAACGAAACCGATTGTCACAAGCTGATGTGGGAAGCGCCCGTAGTTAATCCTCTCATCACGTCCTCCCAATACCCCTGACATAAATTTGAAGAGGCAACCAAACTCACTACTYGACAATTTATAATATACAACGATGACATCGGCCACTCGGAYCGACGGTTGTATGGCAAAGGAACAGAAACAGGTTATATGGTGGCAGGATGGTACAGAGTATGTGTGGGAACRGGGGCYCTGTGTAAGATCCAKTYTGGTGCAAWGACGCAGCAGGGCTTACAATGAGATGGGCACCAGAAATTRACTTAAGACTATGWTGAGGACGGTGCGTGTTAAGGTTGGTGAAWAGAAACTGGACGGCCTTGGTAGCCTCYCACACGCCACGGCAGATTCTGGCGAACTTMTGCGTGCTCGMAAATGATCGTTATATAACAGCTGACGGAGGATCAACGGCAGCGTGGAGATCAGACTTGTTAGCGCGGAATGCCGTATTGTGACTTAACGCTGACGTGTGCAAGGAAAGTGTAAAATCAAAGAAAACTACTCACTTTAAGGGTGTTGTGGTGGAGTTTATTTTTCAACATACGTCTGGCACTTGCCACCCCCCTGGACAAAAAATAATATGAATCAACTGTACCTATATATATATGACAATACAAATATCACATGCATATTTACATTCATTTGTGAAAATAACATTAAATCTTTACATTTGAGATTTTTTTTATTTTGACCCTCCTTAAAATTTTACCTATGGGCGCCCATGGTTCTGGTACAACCTGCCTGGCAATAAACAATACACTGATTATGTCGTAGTGGCGATTTGCAAAACAAGATTTGAGAAAACCAACAGCGAGGACAAAAAAAAAGGTGTTGGTTTTAAAAGCGAACACACACCATTACACCAACAACGAAAACGACAGAAAAAACATGATATGATAAAACAAATGATACCTATACCTATACAAAGACATTTGACATAGAATATAACCAACGAGAAAAACAAAGTCAATATATATTTTTAATTACACAAAAATATTTACACAGATAATTATATCTAATTATAATAATATATTAATGGTGGGAGGAGGATGGTGACTTGATCGCGCGCAGACTTCCTTGGATAACCTTATCACATCAAAGCGACGAGCCACGCGATACTCACCTTTGCGAACATTCATAATGAATCATTATATATTTATATCTAATATTATATCAACGTCTATGTCTGACTGTCATTTTAGGTTTTAAAGTAAAATTCTTAAAATTAGCAGTATGTTCAATATAATATATTAAGGAATAATTGATTAATTTAATTCTAAAATTTTAACMAATTTAAAAATGGAAGAAGATCATCATAAATTAAAGCTATTTTATAAGAGTGGTATAGATAAACGTATATTGGCAAAAGAAAAAGAAAAAAAATACTGAAATTATTTCACAAACTACAAGTGAATGACATAATTTTTTCATAACACAACCTAACACAACTTTCTCTGAGGTTAATTCAAAGTTTTACAGTTATTACCTTCTATACGAAGAATAAATATTACTTTAAATAATATTTATTTTTTATTTTTTA